CACACACACACACACACACGCGCGCGCGCGCGCGCACACTCACAATCTTTTCTCTTTATTTACTTTATATTATGTCTGGCCTACTTGGACCCTTCCTGCTCGTTCTTCGTTCTCTTTTTCTGGTTAGTATTGTCGGGTCCCGCTGGGTGTAAATCTGGCGTGGTCAGTCTAGTAGGTTTTGGTGTGTCATGCTGGGATTGAGGACGGGATTCTAGCGAACATTCCAGAGCTTTGCGTATCCTGGAGGCTTACGCTTTGTCTGGTCGGGACCTTGAGAGAGAGAGAGAGTGCACTACCAGTCAGACATATACCGAGAGATAGATAAAGAGAGAAAGAGCGATGCACACTATCAATCAGACAAATGAAGAGAGAGAGAGAGAGAGAGAGAGAGAGAGAGAGAGAGAGAGAGAGAGAGAAGCCCCCCTCTCCTGGGCTGGTCAGACAGACAGTGCAGGCATAGACAAAAAGAGGGACAGAGGCAAACAGGTATATAGATAAATATACAGACGGACAGAAAAAGTAAGAGCAGCAGGGGTTTGGGACAGATGGGAGCCGAGAAAAGAGGAATGGAAGAGGCGTAATAATTAATGTTGTCCCTATCGATCGGATGGCTCTCGGCACAGGTCTCAGTTTAGTCTGCTCCTTTTCATTATCGACAGGACACAAGGCTGTCCTACGTTATGGAGAAAGACGTTTACCAGCACTCGACGTGCGTGTGTACATGTAGTAGGTTTAGTGGTGCTCATCGATGAAGTGCTGGTTTAGCGCTGAGGTTCAAGTAAGAATTCGTGGTGCAGTCACCATTGGGCACAGTACAGTTTTAAAAAGGCTTTTTTCCCCTAACCCTCCAAATTTTTTGCACTGTTCCCTCTCCCCCTACCTTGTCTTCTGCCCCTTTATTTGACAGCTTTCTAGGCTTTCTAGTTTGTTTTTGTAAAAGTTGGCAGCACCACGTTTTTGTCGTATTTCAGTTACTATTGCCTTTCCTTACACACAAACACACACAGGTGCGCGTGCACACACACGGATTTTAGACGTAACACTCCCACTCCCTCCCTCACTCACTCACACACACACACACACACACA